TAAAAACGCTTTTAAAAAAAAGCATACAAACGTGAACGGCTTCTGATTCGAATATGGACCATAGGTGAGTTTGTATGCATCAAGTCGAGTCGGTGGAACGGTTGTATGTGATTCGAGCTTCCCATTCGGCAACAAAACTACAGTTGTTTCCTGGGTAACCGGGTAAATGCTCGAAACATGCGCATTTCCTTTGTAGATGACGAATCTGAAATTGTTTTAGCAAGCTGCAAAAGCAAGTTGCATTTAGCACTACTGGCACTCACTGGAGACGGTTGTTTGAAGGTTTAACCCATGCACAAGTATATCTTTGGGGATAGCTCCGTAATTAAAAATAAATACTGTTGAGCGTCAAAAAGCATGGGCCCTTAGCGAAATTCTGGCTATGGAAACTGCACTTAAATTTGCTTACGCCAAGTCTGCATTTAAAAACCCAGACATACATGAACGACGATTTCAAAAATGAAGCATCGCAAATAAGGTGGAAAGTGCCCAAAAGTTCCAGTTTCCCAGCTTCTTTGGATGATTAACAGAAAGTGGATGATAAAAATGCAAAAACAACACACACAGGCAATCTCTCGAGAATATACGTTTTTGCGGTTGCACGAAGACGAGTTTTTTTTTTTTGAAAAGGTTTGCTTGTATTTCTAAATGCAAAAAAAGGACATATATAAAAGATTTTGTCGAAACATACTGCGTATCGGCTTGCGTAATTTTGGTCGGAAACGGTTCCAGATATTCCACCAAATGATATTCAACAGTAACGACAGCTTTGCCAGATGGTGGAATCATATTCAACAGCTCAACCTGAATGCCCAAATAAAGTATCAAAAAACTATGCCAGCAGCTGAAACAACGAAGACTGATGCAAAGATAAATCTCAGTAATCGTTCCGAGTGCAAGTACTGGACTATGATTTTACTAGAATCCATTTAAATCCTTTTTTTTCTCAAAAACTATCCAAGCAACTGCTTTTCTATCATGGGTACCAGTGTAGAAGCCAAAGAGTAATTAGAAACCTTGTAAGCTACATATCCCTTCTTCACATCCGCTCTTGCCTTTTCGATTTTGCTCACTCGTAACTTCGTATCCTTTCTCGAATCCGACGCCGTGATATAAGCCAGCCGTGAGTGCTCATTCTCGTGGACCACATGCAAAAAACTGTTTATTTCCTGATTGCCACTGTTCACTAGCTCGTATCTCACGATCACTTTCACTACCTGGAAAAATTTATATGTGCTTAGAAGTACTGATTGAAAAACTAGTCAATAGTGAGAGAACACCGATATTCTTGACCCTGTAGGAATCGGAAAGAAAACAAGCATATTTGAAGAGATTAGTAAAAGTCATGATGAAGCCCGCAAGCAATTTTATAGCAAAGGTTTTTGCCGGAAGTTTACAAAGAAAAAATTAATTTTAAAATTCCGTAAAAGCATACACATTAATTTTATCAAAAAAAAAAAGAACTATAACTCGGAAAACCACAAACAGCTCGTTAAATTGTTAAGGCACTTGACGGACACTAAAATATCTGACATGCTAGGCCTTTGTAAATTTGTTTTAAGAAAAACCTCAAAGAAAATACGATCGAAAGCTTCACAAGCGGGTGAATAGAGCCGATAAAATGCAGCCGACCGCACTATTCTCAAGCAAAAGAGAGAGAGGGAAAGAGGGACAGCGAGTGAAATATGGGAAGGACTGTGACCTCTCCAATTTGGCTTGCTTTTTTATTTTTAGAATTTTTCATTATCACGCCGAAATTCAGAGAAAAATTTTTTTTTACTGTAGGAGAGGGATCAAACTATGTAAGATACCGCATGTATCTTGGCTCAAATTAAAATCGAAACCCCTCTCCGCGGTCACTCTCTGTAAGGGAT